GGCCACCATGTCTCCCGACCCGGGTTCCCCAGGACCCACCCCCAGGTAGCTGGCAAACGACCCTGTCGGCGACGGCGGCACCACAAAGCCCTCCAGGGGCACGTCATCCCAGCTGTCGGGCACGCCATCCCCCGATGACGTCACCCTGACACCCGCCACGGCAGCGGGAGGCCCGCCGGAAGTGTGCGGCGGCGCCGCGAGCAGCCGGCTACGGCCGCCGGCGGCCGTGGGGCTGCGGGCGTCGCCGCGCGGCACGGGGTACCACGGCCCGAACAGGGCGCGCGGCAGCCAGCCGCGGAATATGGAGGGGCCGGCCGACGGCGCGGGCGCGGGCGGCGTCGGCGGGCGCCAGGGCGGCGAAGCGCCCACGTCCGCGCCGGGGAGCTGCGGTGGGGGCGGGAGCAGCGGCTGGAGCTCTGCTGCAGCAGGGGTCTCGCCGCCTCCTGGCCAATGCTGCTCGTGTTGGTGCTGGTGCTGCTGGTGGTGATGCTGTGCCATGCCCCCTTTGACCGTGTCATGGGGTGGCATCGCGAGCTCCACCTCCAATAGAGTGTCACCCTCACGCCCGCCCCAGCGGCCACTTGACCCTTCCCAATCCTCCGCAGCACCCCGCAGCTGCTGTCCTTGGTGGGCTTGCAACGGGTTGGGGAAGACTTGCTGCTGCTGCTGCTGCTGCTGCTGCTGCTGCTGCTGCTGCTGCCGCCGCTGACCATGATGCCGTTGCTCCTGCTGCTGCAATTGCTGGTGCTGCTTAGCATGGTGCGCGGGCTCAGGGTGATGGGCGTGCCTGTGCTGCGCGTGCTGCGCGTGCCACCCAGCCCCGTGGTCGTCATGGCGCCACTCCTCCTCCTCGTCATACAGCCCCGCCTCGTCATCGTCGCTGCCGACGCCGCCCCCGTCACCAGCTCCGCCTCCCACCCCCCTCGTCCCGCGCCACGCAGCCGCTGTCGCAGCCGCCCCGCTGCTGGACTTGAGCAGCAACAGGGGCCGCGCGGTGGGGCCGCCGGCGCGAAGGGGCGTCACCACCATCCACAGCTGCAGAGAGAGCAGCGCGGCGGCCGCCACCAGCATCGACAGCATCAGGAGGAAGCGGCCCTGCGCGTGCAGCCAGGTTGGGGCAGGCGAGCAATGACGAGCACGAGGGGGATTGGCGAGGGGGAGGGGGGCAAGGTGGCCCCAGGAACCCTCACATGATAACAGCGCCCGCACTCCAGCCTTCGATTGCTTAGCACAGTTACCCTGTGCACAAGACACAGCAAGGCTCCTGGGCACGGGGCGCCGCCGCCCTGCAAGCGCCGCCCTCCTGCGTCTCCTGGGCCGCCCCTCCTCCCCATCATGTGCAGCTGCCCCTCGAGCGCCCCGCGCCACCCACGGGGTTGTTCCAGGCCAGGGCCGCTATGTTGTCCAGGTACTGGTGCAGGGACGAGTCCGGGTCATCGGCCTTGACCTTGGGGGTGGGGAAGGGCGGGTGCGAGATACAGGCAGTGCATACTGATGCATCGTGGTCAGCGCAGAAGGCGGGTGCAGAAAGCACGTCTAGGTGGTGCTCCTGCCTGTGTGTGCATGCTGGTATTGCGTGAAGTGTCAAGTGCACACGAGCATACGTGATAAAATGTGCTTGCGTGCATGCGCGCGTGTGCGTGCGTGTCTTAAAGCACAGGGGCAACGACCCGGGGGTGTTGCAGGGGGCGGGCAGCTGGTTTAGGGATGGTCGCGACTGCCTCAGGCAGGGTACCACGGGAAGCAACCCCCGGCCCGTCTGAATTGTCGGCCCTCACTCTCACATCCCACACCGCCGATGGCCGGCGCGACAGGGGCGCCATGCCCCTGGAGGGGGGCATCATGCAGCAAGCGCCACTGCGCGCACCCCAAGCAAGTGCCGCCCCTGAGCGCGCACCTGTGGCAGGAACGCGGCCCCTGGCGCGAGCTGCGCCGCAAACAGCAGCACATTGGCCAGGAACACCGTCAGCCCTGCGCCCCACGCGCCCAGCGCGGTGGCCCAGCCGTTGCGGTGGGGCCCCATGAGGCGCCCGCTGGAGGTGGCCTTGATGAGGGGCACGAGGGTGAAGGGCAGCTGCAGCGCCAGCACCACCTGAGCCACCAGCAGGAACCTGTCAGGTAAGGGGGGGTGGGG